AAGTATATTATATAAAATCACAGAAGTCATTTCAATACATGCATAAATTACATTTCCTAAAAATAAATAATTATAATTAACAATAAAGAAAATTTAAATTATTCTACAATAATTTCTAAGAAAATTTAATGGGATATTTGTTGTGATAAATCTTCAGCAATTTTTTCAAAATTTGGTTCCCACATTGTTAGAGATTATAATTGTGTACTGACATTGAAAGTAATGGCTGCGAATTTATAATGCGCAGAACAATACATGAATCTTTCAATTTTTGTAACAAATGTAACGTCTAAATTTGCTAAATATCAAGTAATGCGCGCATGCAGTGACACGTATTTCATGGTGGGGGTACGATCCAGGCCTCATTATTCCTAATATCAGTAGTCCAGTAAAAACACAAAAAGCCCCAATCTTATCAAGCAATAATTATAGAATATTTAGCATAAAGGGGATGAAGATTCAGGACTACTCATTGGTATTGCGCGAGTATGAAGAACAGTAGAGAAAAGGTAATTAAGGGAAGAGGCGAAGGGAAAAAATAAAGCGAGATAGGAAAGGGGATGAAAAGTATAATTATAGAATAGAAAAAATATTTTTTCTCTATTCTAAAATTAATGCTCGGTTAAACCGTAATTTTACTAGACTACAGGTTCACTCGGCACTAACGGCATAAATAGACAGGCAAATCAAATGGACAAACAAGTTGTTTAGACTGTTAAAAGGGAAATTGGTGTTTACACTGGGATATTTTAAAGCAAGTTTTTGTTGTTTCTTGTGTTAATAATTTACAGCAAATTGATTAACATACGCCATTTTATAATGAAAGTTAGATGTACCCCTTCGATTTACGCTTGTACCCCGGTTGAGAACCACCGACATAAGACAAACACCATTTAAATTTATATTATATACAATGCACTCTTGCTAATCAAAATAATTTTATTTGTTTTTCTGTTAAGTATTCCCATCAAAAACAAAAAAACTTTTGAATTAGTTTTTAAAAACATGTCAAATTTTTTGTATGTATTCTTTTTTGACATGCTTTTCCTTATATATAATCTTGCTAATCCAAATCACCACATACAATAATTAGTTCAAATTAGTGAGATTGCACTATAAAAACATTTAAACATCATTCTTACCTAAGTTATTTTTTTCCTTGCAGGATATCGAATAACAACAAACTTCCCTATCTCGAATAGCAGAAAGATTCCTAATTAAAAAATGCATTTTATAAACATTAAAATCTTAAAATCATCAGAACAATTAATTTAATATTAAAATTAAATTTATATTACAAGTTAATTTTTCTTTTAACAACTCTAACAAATTTTAGGATTAATTTAAATTTAAATTTAATAAACTTACATTTAATTAAGATTAAAATTAAGAATGATTGGTTTATGGAGATACAGGCCATCAGGATACTGTGACAGTAGTTATAAATCAGACAGCAGTAGTTGTGCTATGTGAACCCAAATTGATTCAAAGTTAACAGGAGGATCAGACAAGGCTGTCTTTGCGTCCTCTTACTTTATTTGATATCATTTCCAACAAAATAATGGAGTTTTTAACCACAATTATGACACAAAAATCAGTGGCCAATGATTAAATGCCCTAAACTTTACAATTGATCAGGCTGCTGTATTGAGAAGTAATAATGGATTTGTTAAAATCACTGACAACACAAATAATACATCCAAAATTTAATGGTATGAAAATCAACTATAATAAAACCAAGACAATAGTGATAAGTAGAGGGAATGCTAATTTAGATATTAAGACTGAAGCTGACCAATAGAACAAGTTTCAATACTTTCAATACTTATGACAATTATTTACAGATCATAATGCCCAAAAAAAAATAAAAAAAATTCCTAAGCAAAGAAAAAGTAAAACAAACAAAAAGTCTTTATTGGTAAACACCAAATACTAACCTTAAATCAAATTGATGTACAACTGAGGAAAAGAATGTTGAAGGTGTTTATCTAGTCCTTTCCCCTCTCTGCAGCTAAAACATGGATTCTGCTCAAAAGGGTCAAAACATTAAAACATTCTTTGAGTTTTTAAGATATGGTATTGGAAAAAATGCTGAAAGTGAAATGGTCAGAACAAATAAGCAATGAAAAGCTAATACATGCATTTGGAAAAGATTGAAGCATTGTACAGTCCATTAAAAAAACCAAGATCAGATGACTGACTGGGCTATTGCCTTTGACATAACCTAAGGAAAAAGATAGTTGAATGACACAACTAAGAAAAGAAAGGATAAAAATAGACAGATAATCTTTTTTATTTTAACGTTTATGTATGGGCATAAATTTTACAATCCACAGAGATATGATTTTTTCATTAATAAAAACAATTTGTCTATGAATTGAAACTATCATTATGTTTACATTTTCAAATTTATCAATATAAAAACAGAAAAATTTATAAATTTGTGTTTTTTACAGCTTTAGTAAATGCTATAAAATTGTATCATCATTTTAGCTCCATATTTTAAAATAAATTTTAAATAAAAAGAATCATGCAAATATTCTGTATAACAAAAAGTAAAAAGTTATTGTAAATTACAGTATATATCAATAAGTCAATCAAGATCTTTAATTCAAAGCTCAGTGGAAGCAGAATTTGGCATTTCTATTTTCCAAATATTGGCAATTTTTTTTCAGGCTTAAAAAGTTTTATTTATATGTCACAATTTATTATAAATTATAACAAGTAGAAAAATTGATAAGTCAAGGTTTAATTAACTTGATGATTCAAAATTGAAAGAGCATATCATCATTAGATAGACAATTTATGTTATGTTTAATTAAGATATAATTAAATTTATATTTAATTTTTTTATTAGTATATTAATAAAATATATATTCTTTGTTGAGGAATATGTAGTTTCTTAGTCTATAACAAAGTGATGTACTTCTTTATACAATACAAATCATAATGCCAATCACTTATATCTTTGATTATAGTTATTCTACTTATTGTCAGCTTTGAGAAAATATTCTGCTTGTTAAAAATATCAGACCAAATTAAGTGTTGAAATTATTTTAATATAATGTTACTAAAGGAGCAATTAGATCAATTACAAAATAGGAAATAAACAAAAAACTAAATAAAAATTATAATCAAACTATGTACACTTTTTAATTTTATAAAAAAATTATTTTAGGGTCTGATTAGTAACAAAAAGAAAAAGAAAACTGATAAATAGCACTTATGCATTCTTTACATTTCTATTATACACACCTTACACATTAAGTCAACATTTCACTAATAGTTTCAATATTCTTATTATCAATGGTATATCTTTATTTATACTGTAAAAGAAAAACAATATAATTTTTGAAAAATTGGAAGAACTTTAAGAACAGAATACCCAAATGGCATGCCTATTGTTTCTCAAACTTCACCTTCTGGTAACCTGTTTAATAAATTTTAATATGCAATTTGCATAGTTTGTGTAGTTTGCTGTCAACATATTTGCCTAGATCCATAGTGATCTGTAGACCACACACACTGTTGAGAAATTTGCTGTCCAAATTATCTCAACTACCTGAACATAAAAATTTCTACTATTCAGCACTATACACTGCAAAAATTTCCAATGGTTTCAGATAAGGAAATCAGCTAAGTATTCACAAAATGATTTGATTGATGGGTAAAAGCAATATAACACCTGAAAATCTGGCAAGGAGGGGGTGCCTCCAGGAAGAGTTTCTACAGGAAACTGACTATTTAGAATTTGTGAAGAAACCTGGAAAAACTCCATTAAGGCATCCTGTTGGTGAGATGCAAACCTGCAACCAATTACCAGTGTTTTATCCACTAAGTCATTGATGGGCTAAATGCATAAGAAAGCCAGTATTAATTACCAGGGCTAGACCCAGCTTGTGTTATTTTAAAATTTCAAGTAATTTTAAAACATTACAATGTTTTAATGAAATTATTTGAATTGTAGATGTATGTAATTTTTCCTATTAACTTTAGTTAAAATAATTTAACTTAAATAATTAGTGTTGCAACAAATAGTATATTTGGCATCAGGCCGAATACGCCAGGAGCATGGCCGAATAGCCAAATATTCGGCCAAACTATTCGGCTTGATTAAAGCACACATGAAAATTGGCACGCAAAGCACATTATGGCAAGAACCCTGCTCTCTATTGGCCCACTGTCACTACGCTTCGTCAATCGCATTAATTCTTGACCGTTGTAGCGGACAGACAAGAACGTCATGGCAGTACTGTATGTGATAAATGATATCAAATATGGATAACAATGAAATGACCTACACGTGTAAATAACGGAAAAGGAACAGAGAAGGGTTGTGAAGTGAAAATAAATATAAAATTGAGTTGATAACATAATCGAACAATTCGAGGCAGCTTATTCACACGAAATTCGCAGTTGTCAATGCCAAACAATTGTTGTGATAGGCTTCTGAACGGAAAGCTAAATGCTCGTAATGAAAGTCACTTAGCGTGCATGGGCGAAAGCCTGGGGCCATTCAGGCTACCAAGCTGTCTCGAATCTGTGAAATCATAACTGTGACTTATACCAACATCCTATCTGTCTCTTTTCTCCATTATCACAAGGCTTTGAATCACGTAATTATAAAATGGGAAATCCATGACGGAAAAGTGACGAATTGAAAGTTTCGTGAGCGCGTATTATGATGTATGCATAGGCATACGTGGACTAGAGCAATAGAGGAAAGAGAAAGCGAAGAGCAAAGACGAGCGCTTAAAAAAAAAAAGGATAGGCAGGATCAGACCCTCAGATGTGTGCGACGATTCTCAAACAAATAGGTGTGTACGTGTGCTGATATTTGTAATTATAAATTGTGAATACGTGTGACTAATATTAATTTCCTTTTTATTTTGTGCATGTTATAAGTTATAAATAAATACAAACAAACAACACTAACCCGATAACATTAAATCTAAATATCTACTAATTTACTGAGTTTTTGTTATTTCTTACTTCTGTTTTTAAGTATTTGGCCGAATAGTGATTAAATATTCGGCCGAATATCAAAAAATAGGTCGAATACCAAATAGTAACCGAATATTCGTTACATCACTATAAATAATATAAAGAAATGTTTTGGAAGTTAGACAAAACAGTGATGATGGGAAAATAATTTCAATAATATGAAAATTTTCCATTTTATAATATTTTTTGGTGTTCATTACTTGAAGTTCATCCTTAACTGAAATTTTTGAGCATTATACAAATTCATTCTGAAGTCATGATCATAAATAAATTTTGCATTTTTGGATGTCAAAAAGTCTTACTGTCTGTACTAATGTGAGGCCTGCCGATTAGGGGTGAGGTGTTTTCGACAGCCGAGCGGTCAATTCTGTCGTGTGGGCGCGGAATGACTCACCGAGACAGGTTTACCATATAAAACCGTTTAATAATATACATAAATCGTTCTTACAACAATCTACTGTGAGCAAGCGACTATCCCACGATGGGTTTTGTCACAGTTCCTAAAACTCGGACAGTTCGAATGTTCGATTGGTCCTTGGGAAGCTTTCGGCACTGTGGACGCAGAGAACGATGGCTCCGGGGCATGCACCAACACTTGTAGTGATGTCCTCAGTTGACAAGTCGAACCTCGACGATTCTGGACGTGACCTCGGCGATCCTAGAGTGGACGGGTTGGCGAAACCAGTTCCTAGGTCGTCGGAAGAGCCTTCGTTGCGTCTCGGTCGGGAGCACCAAATCCCGACAGGTGAGCACTACACACCAAAACCCAAGACTCTGTAAAGTTCCCGAAAACGCGGTTTTATCGATTTTTCCACCGCGGTCGCCTCTCCATTGGTCTCTCCTCGTCACATGGTGACAATTCGAAACTCCAGGCAGGGCGCGGGAGAGGTCAACGTCGCGTCGGAACACGACTCCTCTCCAACCTCGTTTTCCTCGACTTTACTCTATCTATTGTTTAAAATCTTTTAACAAGACAAAAGGTTCATTGTTTAAATCCGATCTTTAAGTTCGCTCTTTCGCACTACGAAA